GAATTCGCTTTTTCAGCGTGACAGTAATGAGAAACCAGGCAATACAGTTGTACAATGTGTGCAACTAGATTGATCAAAATGTCAGGGGCCATTTAAGAGTACAGCAATGAAAGGCACGTGGAAAATGAAAATGAAGAAACAGAATTTCAGGAACTATGTAGTTAATTTCTGTACTAATAAGTTCCAGTTAAATGAAAAGTTGATAGCTGATTTCGTCTGTTTAACTTTTTTACGCCGCTTTCCATGTATTTTTTGCTACTTTGCTCATTTTTAGTTGGATAAAACTTGATTTCATGCTTAATCATTATTTCATATTAAGTGGAGGTAGTCTATTCATTGATATTGGACTCAACATGCTGCGGAAAAAAATGTGCTTAATCCGTGACTGCAGTTATAAGTTTGATCTGCTTCTCTGTCTTTTCCTGTCACTCTTGTTCCAGTTCAGGTTGTTTCACAACTTACGGAGCAAAAACTGTGCCTGATCTCACTCTTCGAAGAGTGTATGGTATATAGAAAGGTATAAGGCTTGAATCTGATCCAAAGTTTTATTAATTCATTATGCAAAGAACTTGTTATGCGATATTATGCCGTGCAAGATTTGTGAAGTTTATAATTAAATTCCGGCAAACATTCATCTTATGTTCTTCGCACATTTATTGAAATTGATAGAATCCATCCGACTTAAGAAGCTAAAAAGTTACGTCACAGTTCGACGAATTTGTTAGATCGTTTTGCGCTGACTAATAAATAAACGGGTTGTTGATCTACATAGTTTGGTTTGCATTTAATTCTGCGAAGTCTGCATTTTCATTCCCTTCATATCGCATACCGATCCATGGAGGAATGAAGGATAAGGGTCGATGCGTATCGCCATCATAGTTTTCTATTGTTGTCTTTCTCTGAACAGCTAGTGACACTCGTTTTCGTTATCTCACTCCATGACACTTTCATTTCCGTAATTGGTACTCTATCACTTATTTTAAAATTTTGTGATATTCCTAAATTTATTTAAAATTCTTTGACGAAGCCAATAACAAAAGGACCTAACTAACCATAGCATGTCTCCGCGTGGGAAAGGCGTTTCAGTGCTTCATTTGCGCTCTAGTTCGAATGCGGCTCGCGCATTCAAAATTCCGACTATCGATTTGTTTATACTCGTTTAGAGCTGCTCTACTGCCGGGAGACTACGAGCAGCAGAAAAATGTGCTGGAAATCCTCGAGAATCGGGTGAAGTGCTTGTCGAACCAGTACGATGCATTGTCCCACAAGTACCTCAACCTGTTGCGCATGCAGAAACTCATTAGCGATAGGCAAAAAGTTAGTTTAAACGCAGTTCGATGTTATATTAGAAAGCGTTTAGAATCGAAATTGTGAACCAAAGAATCGCTTATCCGTCAAACCGCCTATCCAGTGCTGAGACGAACGCTTACAACGAGCTGCAGCAACTCAGCATGAAGTCGAAAGTAATCGTGGCCAAGTTTGATCAGGTAAGAACTGGAGTTTCTGTTGTTCATTTCAACAAACACTTTGTCTTGGACAGTTTCATTCCGATTCATGAATTAATCCATCGTTTAAATCATATGGTTTGCAACATG